CCAACACATATATATATATAAACCGGTAGACTTGTAGACTTTTTTTAGATTCATAAGACTGAGGTAATAATTTAGTTATTTGATTTTGAAAAAAATTTACAAGAAATGATTTTAGGTAGGTCAAAGAGACTAAAAATAAAATAAAATTGGGAATTAAAAAAAAAGCTGCATCACCTTAAAAAAGCTTAAAAATTTTTTTTTGGAAACTTTACCCTTTTTATCGACCCTTATTATTACTTTTGTAATAATCATTCCAAACCCATCTAACTGAATAAATGTATTTAATTAACTAAATTAATTTAAAGCAAGATGTTGAAATTAAAATATATTGAAGAATTTATTCTCTTAAAAGCATTATAGAAAGTAAAGAAACACAAAGCAAGTAAAAAAAAAACGCGGAAATATACAAGTACATTGCAAGTCTAGTACATTTTAGCTCTCAAAATAAAAAAAAATAAATGATGTATTAATAATGAATAATTCTATATAATCACTACTTTATATTTAAATTGTGTTCGTATTTGCTTTCATTTATTTGGTAGAAAGTTTCAAAGGCATGAACTTGGAATTTAGAATGAATAAAATAGATAAAAAAACGGAATTTATAAGATGTTTTAAGGAAAAGAAGACCATGCAAAAAGTTCGTTCATATCGTAAATAAAAGAATTCTAATACCAAAATGTGATAAATTAACTTACCTTATAAAGTGTAAAGTTTAAAAGGTATTATATAAGGTATAAAGTTTTCCTTTAACACATTTTGCTGTACAAGTACATGCAATACAGTAAATCAGCATATTTTGAGATTTTTGACTTTAAAACACCCGAAAGAATTTTCTTCCATTGAAATAACAAGAAGAAATTGAAGAGAGAAAAATTCTCTTTCGGGTCACCCTCTATTCACGTAGTTTCCTTCTGAGAACAAAAATTACCTTAATTTGCATATTCTAATTAAAGTACAGCTCTATTGGATCAATCCTTGCTCGTTTCACTCTTAAATTCCCGTAATTTTTTCGCAATCCTTTTTGTTTCCTGATAAATATATTATTGCAACAAAATTTAAAATTATTGAATTAAAAGATCCTGAAAGTTTCTACTGTATTGACACAGATTTAGTTTCAGAGAATTTTCCTTACGTATTAGAATAAAATTCGAACCTAATAATCTTGCTCGGATGCCACTGTAACTTCATCCACTTACAGTCGGACCTCTATTTAACGAAGTTGCTAAATCCCGATAATAAGTTCGTTACATCGAAAGTTCCCTATAAGTTCGAAAATTTACTTAAACGACAGAAAACAGGTTTTAAATTCATAAACACTAGACATTATTAAAATAGCAATGGATAAACCTTCATCTTGTAAACTATTATCTACTATTTATTTTATAAATCTTAGACATAAAAGAAATCTGCATGGAAAGCAAGAATAGAGCAAAACAGTATCCAGTGTTACACTATCATGTTGCATACATTTTCAACTAAAAAAAGTTACGTTTATGTACAAAATTATAACTGCATTTATTTGCTGTATAAAATTATAACTGAAAATCACTTTTAAACATACATTACCACATGCGTTCTTAAGTTTTATTGCTACTAATAGAATCCGTTAATTTTGCTTGAGTGTTAAGTGGCTTCATTCCCCTGTTCGAGGGCATTTCCCCTGTAAAATGCGTTACCAAGTTTGAAATGTACTGAAATATTTTGGGAAATAAGGAAAGTGGATCTCAAAGAAAAGTTCGTTAAATGGAAAATTTACTTCGCTATTTGAAAGTTATTTTACGAAGAAATTTCCAAAATGTTCTTGGTTCCTCTAAAAAATTCGCAAAATAGAGAAATTCTCAAAAGGGAAGTTCGCTAAATAGAAGTCAGACTGTATTTGATTTTTAAATTCTTATTAAATTTTTGGTTACAATGCAAACTAGTTAAATGCTTTTCGCTTCAAATAAAGTTTAGCAATTACGTAAAAATTGCTTGTGAGTTTTAAATAGCTATTCAGTGTT